CGGCCCCCTGCCCGAGGGGCTGGGCCGTGTGTGTGAACATTCCAGCGACCACTCAGTTGGAAGTTGGTAAATCTCTGCTCGATTCTTCAGCTCCGAGCCCGGTCATGATCTGCCTTAGTCCATTTCCGAATCACTCCACTCCGTCCTCAAGGTTATGCTGCATTCTGGGATTATTCCGCGCCAACGGATCCGTCCACCCTCCCGGCCGGGGCACAGGCCCTGCCTCGTGCTGTGTGTGCCGGGAGTGATTCCAGCCCCAGCCTTTCCGTGGGAGAGAGAAGCCTCCCTGTGGCTCCCGCCCATCGCTCCCCTCCCGCCAGGGAAGGGACCGGTTTCCTTGGAGCGTCACCGGAGCCCAGGAGAGCCCCGTTCCCGAGGAGACACCGGTGTCCTGCGCCTCGGGAGGAGGGGCAGGCAGATTGCAGATCGCTGATTTAAATGAGATTCTATACTTGTAAAGAAAAATCAATAAAGATCAAAGCAGAACACGTGTTGGTTTCCCGTTCCGAGCGGCGCTAATGGAGCTCCGGGAGCCACGCGGAGCTTTGGGCAAACCTGGACCCAAGCCTTGGGCAGAACCCTGCGAGCTGTTCCACCCCACAGCCCGTCCTGCCCTCCCTGTTCCTCCTCGCAGCAGCCAGGCGGCCCTTCGGGCTGTGGCCCGCTTTGTGCCTCCCCCAGTCCCCGCGAGGAGCAGCAGGAGGGGCTGAAGGGCTCTCCCAGCTCACTGTGCCGTGGTCCTTGGCTGCCCCACACCGAAAGTCATCAGGGCTGAAATAAATCCTGGTAAAGCCAACCCAAAACCGTTTAAATGGCCTCAGCCTCGCTGGGCTCATGGGTAAAAACCAGAGCTGGCTGGAATTAAAGTCTAGATCAGAGTGAACTGGTCACAGAGGCTTTGACCTGTGTCTCTGATCCGAGAGGTCCCTGTGAAAAGTTCCTGCACGTTCCTCCCCCTTCCAAGGGCATCCAAAGCCACTGTTTCCTGAAGGCAGGGATGTTTTCCCCCTCCTTCCCTTGCAAACCCACCTTTGATCCTTTATCCATAGTCAAAACAGCCATAAAGCCCCCCAATACTCCCAACACCTGTTTTTCCAGCGGTATCCACACGGGAATCTTGGTGTCCTTCAGCACCACAGGGACCTGAGAAGTTTCCTCCTGCTTTTCCCAGGTGAGTTTTGTCCCACTGAAATAAAGGTGAGGTTTGCCATCGGCTGCTCCCAGCTCAGGTTCCATGGCTGTGTCCCAGCTCCAGTGACAGACACAGGAGACTGATGTCCACTTAAAAAAATGAATTTTACTCATCTCCCTATTTTAATCACGGATTAAACTGCAGCCAGGGAAATGGTGAGAAGGGAACTAGAGAGTAAAAATCAAGATTAATTGTTAATTTGGAGACATTCCAATACATGGCATTTTAAGGGGGGAAAAAACAACTAAAAACTCAAATCTGCTCAGAAAAATCCATCTTTACCCAAAAAGTGTAATTTAACAGTATTTTTAATGAAAAAACTGAAGGTAAAAATTCTCCACTGTGAATTATTCCATAATTCCACCGTGTGAGTACTGAGGGGAGGGAAGGTGCTGATGTTCAGCCAAGAAGGCACCAAAGGCTGATTTTTAAACACAAGGGAAACTTAGACCTATAAAAAAATGAAATTGCCTCATAAAGCACATCAGGAAACAAAGAATTCACCTGAAATCCCCGTTCAAGGTTCTATTACAGTGTTAATGCTTGTGGGTATTTCTTTGCGAAAGCTCTTTTTGTGTTCACTCCAACAAAAGAGATCTTGTATGAGTGTTTTCCCCCTCAAAATCCAGTTTTTCCATCCTTAAATCTACAGAAACCAAAGAAGAGAGCGAGCCACAGCTCAGCTTGGATTGCTGCAAGCACACCCACTGGATTTGAGGGGAACATCCCTCTTCCTGCTCCCCAGGGGCTTTTCCAAATGGTGTCTTAATTGCCTGAAGAATATTTTATATTTTTCAATATTCAGTGAGGCACTTTCCACATCCCAGCCACCAAGCAGGTTTCTCTTACATTATGATATAAATATTTCAGCTTCCCAGGCTGGTCAGATACAAAACGAGCTCTTTATTGAACACAAGGTTTGAATCTCAACACAGGATTTATAAATCATTGCAGGAATCAAGGGAGTAAACAAGGTATAAAGTCAATTAATAACACTTATTCTCATGGGATTTAAAATACCAGCACTGACTCCAGTGTAGAACAAACCCAAACAGCTCCAACTAATAATCACAAAACCACTTCTGGAAGAGAAATAACATTTGCCCAGAGGGCAGGAGAGGAATCACAATAAAAAGAGAATTTTTCTGATCACTTCATAGAATTACAACATTCATATTTTAACGCTGAGAACCGGAATTAAATACAGGTCCAAAATTAAAAATAAACCCGAAGCAGCAGTTTGTACAACAGCAGCTTTTATTGGAAAGGCGGGGTTTGCTTCAAGTTTAAATAATTCCCAGTGTAGCTGAGGAACTCGGAGCATCCCATGGGATTCCAGGAGCTCCACCTGAGGCTGAACTTCACTCCCAAACCCTGCTCGGGGTTCAGGGCAGGAGCTGCTCAGACCAAACCCAGGGAAGAAAAGCTGCTGCCAGGGAGGGAAAGTCACTGGAATGGTCAGTGCATGAGGTGACAATTCACAGGTGACCCCAGGAATTCCCACCCAGACACGGAGGGGCAGGGAAGGGGTTGGAGCAGCCCCAGCACTCCCAGCACCAGGGATACAGTGGGGAAAAGCCATAAATACATTAAATAACCAGGCTAATAATCCCTTAGAATTCCAAATATACAGAAAGAGACAGAAAACCCACTTTCCACAGGTCACGCCAAGGCAGCTCCAGAAAACACAGACATTAAAAAAACCAAAGAAAATCCTGTTTATCTTCTCCAGTGACAGAATCCGTGCAGGAGGAGTTGTTACAGGTCTGAAATTCCACAGAGCCAAAGGGAAGGCAGCGTGTCCAGGTGTCTGTGCAAGAGGGGGTGGGGGAAGGTGGGCTGTGACAATCCTGTCACCTTGGATACAGCCTGGAAGGACACTGGGCTTGGGCTGGCAGCGACATCCGAGAGGATGCTGAGCCTCCAGTGAGTCACTGGAATGACTGGGATTTGTGAGCTGAGCCTTCCTCTGCAGGGCCTCTATGGGGGGATCTCCAAGAAACATTCCATGTTGGGAACAGAACACTCCCTGCTCCCACAGAGACAGGACGGTGCCTGTGCTGTCCCTCCCCTGGGAGCAGGAGAGCAGCAGTGCCATCCTCCAGCGAGCTCTGCTGCAACTGGAACTGCAAACGTCCACTCCTTATTTTTATGGGCCAAAACACACGAAGGATCCAGCTCAGAGAGGGGAACTGACCTGACAGCAAGCACAGGAAAACCACCACTGCAAAATGCTTCTGTGACAATCCAGCTGGTGCTTTAAGTTCCACGCTGTGGCCTCTTATTTGTGGTCTCCTCTTTTAATTAGGAAAAATAAATCCCGTCTAGCCTTTGGGGGGAAACCCAGGCTGACAATTAACTCCCTTTTCCCAGTACAGCATTCCCAAAACCACTGGAGAAGTGCCTGTGCTCACAGCCAGACCAGGCTGCCCCTGAAGTCAGACAGAGCTTCCTGGAATTTGGGAGGCAAAAGGGAGCACTGGCTCCCTGTCCCCAAAATCCCATGGGAACACCTGCCCTGGTGAGGGCACAGCAGGGTCTGACTGCACAGGCTGTGCTGCTGGAGCTCCTGCACACCTCATAAAGAGAGAGAAGCAGTGAGAGGCTTCCCTGGTTTTTCGATAATTGCTGGGAAGGGATGTGGGCAGTCCCTGTCACACCGTGGAAAATCTGCCACTGGATTAGCCCTAGTTTGTGTTTGTGACTGGAGGCACACGGTGCTTTATTTTATGAATGAGCTAATTTGAGGCAGCAAGATTTATTGTAATTGGTGTAAATAAGGAGCCAGACACCTCTGAGCCAAGATTCTTTCATTTGGGCTAATTAATAGTTTAGTATAACTAAGCTTGTTTGTTTTTAGACACAAAGCATCGTTTTCCTCACTGTAATCTCCAGTTTGGCAAATAACCACAGGTCAGTGGCAGGTACTTACAATGGAGGCAAGATTAACCTGGAACAGCTGTGGATATCTCTGGGGAGAAGGGAGAGATCTGAGGAATTTAGATCAGAGAATTAAGGAGAAAGTTGTAGCCCATGGATTTACACCCCACTTCGTTCCCTGCAGACCCTGACTGGACAGTGGGAAGTCTCTTATAATGCAGTGAAGCTCCCACTTGGTTTAAAATCCTCTAATAGCACTGCACTGTCCTCTGGGTGTTGGATCTGAGGGAAGAATCAGGTACTCTAGATGTACAGGTAACATTTTGTGACAAAATTATACAAATCTCCTGTCCAGTGGGGGGTGTACCTGCCATAAACCACAGAGCAGCAGGGACACAATGCCCTGCCCCAAACACCAGCTTGCTAAAACCACCAGCTTCCAGTGGTAAATCCCTTTGGCTGTTGAATCCCACTCCCTGTGACAGGAGCCAAGGGCCACCTCGTGCTGCCAGCTCTGAGTCACAGGGACAGGTTACTGCAGGTAGCAGGAGACTGCACGAGCCACACACACAGGATTCCTGTCAGGAAAAGCATCTCAACATCCAAAAAAGGGAAAGTATCTACACAGGAGCAGATGTGCTACATCAGCAAGAGTCCCGTTTTCAACAGAGCTGCAGCCACACAGCTACCAAAGGGTCAGGAGAAACATAAATCACACCTGGAGCTCAGGACAACTCCAGGGAAGTTTATCTGTATTTACAACAAAGCTGCAAGTTTTAAACTCCAGCTGCCTGTACTGCAGAATCCAGATACGACAGGGAAAATTTCCACAGTTTTCCAGCCCTCACCCCCCACACCAGCCAGTTGAGCACACAGAACAGCTCCCAGCACAGAGCACTGGAGCTGTTAAATCCACAGCAGCGAGTCCATCGTTCATTTTGCCTCGATGGCTGCTGTGACTCAGGTGCTGTCACAGCAGCAAATATCTGAACAACAACAACATCACGGTCCATATCCCAAACACCTTAAAGAGAAGATCTGCTTACAAATACAGATTCCCAAGTACTAAAGTGGTCACTTCTATGCAAACCAGCCCAGCATTTCGGGTTCTTTGGGAAGCTCAGTGCTGGCTCCCCCCAGGTTTTGTGCACGTGGCTACCAGGCTGCTTTTACACTGAATAACACGTTTTCATGTTGAGAAAGTCTGAAATGCCACCTTTTTTTTTTTTTTTTCCATGCTACATTTTTTTTCTGGTTATTTCTGAACCCTTGGCCATTTCAAATGACTTCTTCACTGTCTGTGACAGTGGCTTTAACCTCTTACAGCCCAAAACTCCACCCCAAACATTTCAAACCCTGAGCCCAACTCCAGCCTCTCCACTTACTCCACCCCACCAGTTACCCCAGGTCCTGCATTATTAACCCCAAAGCTCCACCTTCAGTGCAGCTGCTCTCAGAGCAGGTCTGGCAGGATGAGCCCTGGAGGTTTGGGCTCCACACAGTTGATCCAGAAGTTGGCACAGCTGGCGTGGTACTGGTGCCCTCCATAGGCCAGCTTAAAGTTGTCTGTCTCGGAGTTAAAGGCCTGAAAGAAGAATGGAAACGAGTGTGACAGTCTGATCTACTGCAGGATCTGAAACCAGAGTGGGAAATGGATACAGCAGAGGCATCACCCTGGGATGGCACAGCATGGCAGGACCCTCCCCCCAGCACAGCACCCCATAAACTGTGTTTTATTTTAGTTACAGGGGGGGCAAAACCTTCAGCCATCACAGCTGAGCCAACTTACACCTGCATGGGGGGACCAGCTCTGACCCCTGGCAACCAACTCACCTCATTTTATGCATCTCCTAGTCCTGCTCCGAATCCCTAACGAGGTGAGGCTTGTCCTGCCTGCCAGCACACAGCTCCTGCATTTATTTCCCTGGCTCCAGTTCTGCTGGGAGTTAGGCAGGAGCAATTCCTGCTATTAGTGTTATTTCAGGTTGAATTTGATCTACTTCCTCCTGTTAATTGAAGCTGCTTTACAATAGGAGCCTCTGAGCAGAGCGTGTGAAGCCATGAACAAGCTGAAACCACCTCAGTGTTTGTTGCTAGGAGATATTTTCCAATGCTTCACAGCTCCCTATTTAAAAAAATATCCCAGCCCTGCTCCCCACACCCTGGATTTCCTGCAGACATTTCTAAAAATGCCACTGCCTGCTACATATAGCCAAAAGTCAATATTTCTAGCACAGAACCCCTAAAATCCCCCCCCTCTTCTGCCACGGACACATAGATTCAGAAACTCACTGCAGGGGATTTTCTACCACACAACAGAAGGAGCACAAAACCAGAAAGCTGGTCACAAGTACAGGCATGCAGACAAGACAAAAGGGGAGGCTCTGGAGCATGTTAGTTGATCAGATCAAGTGTTAACGGTCACAAAAAATGACTGGAAGAGGAGGATTAATGATTGGTACAATTGAGAATGACAGCTGAGAGCCAGTCAGCAGCTCAGCCTTCCACACTCAGCTAAGAATGAGTCCAGAAAGAATGTTTTTTAACAGATTCATACTTTTTTAGGAAGCTCTTCCACAGGTTTCTCTTCATTCTGAAATGATGTTGAAACCAAAAAGTCAGGAAAAGTGCCGATATTGTGAACGGGTTGGCACAACTCTGCACGTGTGCTGAGAGCCCCTCCCAGCTCTGCTAACGGCAACAGTCCCCTCTGGTGATCCATTTCATAAGAAAAGTCATTAAAAATGGTTTCATTTGTTAAAAAAACCCACAAGTTTTTAAATATTAGTCTCTCCCGTTTCTTCCCCATTATGAACAATTTAACCCTTTCTCCACGGCTCTGTCACACCAAAGCCCAAGGAACACGGGACACTGAGCACAGGATTTTATGTGAGTCCCACCTGTGGGTCAGAGTTTGCTTTTTCCCCTCTGCCATTTGCAAATTACAGCCATGAAAATCTTTCCAATAAACCCATCCCTGGGAGTGCCCAAGGCCAGGCTGGACAGGGGTTGGAGCAGCCCGGGACAGTGGAAGGTGTCCCTGCCCGTGGCAGGGGGTAGAGAGGGATGAGCTTTAAGGTCCCTCCCAACCCAAACCATTCTGGGATTCTATAAATGCAAGTCCAGACCGTGAATTACAAAGCAGTTTAACCACTCCACTTACTTTACTTCGGGAATCCACGTTTAGGAGACACACTCCACAGGCCAGATCCTGGGCATTCTTGATCCCCGGGCGCAGCATGCAGGAGGAGAAATCCAGGGAGTTTTCATCTGGCTAAAGAAACAACACAACAACACTCAGGCTCTTTCAGCCACTGGAGAAGTTTCAGACATCAGGATGAAAATGACTGAGTACCAAGAGCCCCGGTGTGACACCAGCATGGCAGGGGTGAGGTGGTGCATTCCCTCCTCACCAGCTGCTGTGGGGTTCAACCAAAGCCATGAGGATGGGTTTGCCATCTCCAGCAGCACTAATTTACAACACTCAGAACCCTTGAAAAAGGCTGTGACTACAAAGGAAGGAATTCTTCAGCTGCACATTCCCACATCAAAAGGGGAAGGAGCCCAGGCTGCTGCGAGCTGGGAGCTGGAGGAAGGCAAACAGTGGATCAGCAGGTATTTGTGCAGCTGTGGGAGGGAGGCACAGCCAGCTCTGCTCTCCCAGCAGCACTGGAGGGGTGGCTGCTGCAGGGCTTATCGTCCTGGATTCTGTTATTGCCTGAGCAAAAAAGGGCAGTTGTTACTTTTTGGGTTTTTTTGTTGTTTGGTTTTGTTTTGTTTTGTTTTTTTGGTTTTTTTTTTGTTTTTTTTTTGAACCTACAATATGGCAGAGCAGTACAAAACGGGGTATTAAGTTTAACCAAAGCACAGAGTTCAGGTCACCAGCCACAAAGCTCAGGTTAAGGAGAGGCAAAGGATGGGAGAATAAACCTGAAAACAAATTAATACAGTCACTTTTCCGGTACTTAACCTCAAATTTCAGCCATGGGACAAATGATCAGTTAAAATTTTGCATGAGGACAGTATAAAACCATTCAAATTTTGCATGAAAATAACAGTGCAAATAAAAACAATGACTGGAAGTGCAAGAAGCTTAAAAAAATGGTGTGAACCCAGGACATGTCTCTTAATCCACACTCTGGTTATGCTGCTCACGCTGCCCCGCTGAATGGCTGGAGAATAAGTGGAATCCTGAGAAAAAACCCCACCCTTTAATCTCTAAGTAGATCAATCAAATTAATAAAGGCACTCTAATATTTGTTTACCAAATGCATGAGTGAAGCAAATGAGAAGGTCATCCTGCAATTTGCTGTGAAAAACCACAGGGCTGTGCATAAAATTACCTTGTAACAAAATCCTTTAAAAGATAAAATTAACCTTTCCAGGCACATGCCTGGGAGCTGGAATACTTCTCTCCAGTTAATTGGCACCTCCGCATCATTTGGGATCCCTGACTGCAACACCAGGGAGGGAGGTGTGAGTTCCACCCCTTCCAGTGGGCCCCGTGGGGAAGAGAACCAAAAAAAAAGGGGTGATTTGGAGAGTTACAGGAGCCAGGAGTCCCTGCTTCTTGGATAACTTCAGAGGGACTGTGTGTCCACATCAGAAGTTACTGTTTGCAGCTCCTGATGTGCTTAAAATGTATCTGGAGTCACCAGCCAGGAGCTGCTCTGGCTCAGAGAACACGTGGCCAAGCTTTGGACTTCCAAGTAATCCCTGTAATCTTCCAAGGAAAAGCACTTTAAGAACTGTATTTTAATCCACCTGTTTAAATCAGGAGAAGATCCTGACACCTTCTGAGACTGGTACTATCAACAACAAAAAGTCCAGCAGATGGATGCAGGTCTGTCAGCTCGCTCTGTCGAGCAGGAGGATATTGAGGGTATAAATTCCCCAGGACAGGCTCTGTGCACCACAGGACATCACCAAAACACCTGGGGAGGTTTCAAAGGGGCAAAAGTTGTGTAAAAAAGGGGCTGATCATTTATTACACCTGCCCTGCAGGGAATGACAGTGAGCTGGAGATGGGTATTTCAAGCAGAAACCAAGTATTCCAGGCCTTACTTATAAATGATTGTTTACTGGGAAGCAAAACCCTTTTGTGGCCACAGCTGCAGTGCAAGGCAGAAGCCACAAATTAAACTGCTCAGGGAAAACCTACCCATGGTAATGATCTGCTCAGCGGTGCTTGATGGGATGTGCTGATACTGGCTCAGAGTTACAGACTCCTCAGGTATGCCCGCAGTTAAAGGGAGCCATTATGCAACTCAGTATCAAGCAACAAACACAGATAATTACCTAAAAATACCAGTTTTACCCTGGGTAAAGAAAGTCATTTTGCAATTGTATTTCCTGCAACACAAATACCCCAAAATCCCCCGGGGTATTTAACGGCAGAGTGATTTTCCTGCCTCCTGTCTGTGTGTGTTCTGGGCCCCATTGTGCCCCTCTCCTTCCCATTCCTCTGCAGACCCATCCCAGGGGATGCTCCTGCTCAGCCCTCAGGCCATCCCTGCCTGTCACGCTCACCCAGGGGTGTCCAAAGCTCTCCTGACAGGGAGCACTGGAGCTTTTCCTGGCAGTTCAGGAGAGGAAAAGCTGCTTAGTCTGTAGCAGGAACCAAAACAAACTCGGGCATTTCCAAATGCAAAGGAGAGGAAAAACAGTTTTAGTTATTCCTGTGTTGCTACACTGTGTGCTCTGGAATTGTGAGCACTAAAACTAATCGTAGGGATATTAAAAAACAAGTTATGTCCATGCTATTCTGGCTTCATAAAATTGCTTATTTGAATTTTATTAAATTTTCCTTACTGGAGATGTCCACAGACACACAGGATATCACCTCAATCAATTGTTTGTACGTAAACAACAGTTTATTCTTAGAGAGTTTTAAAATGGATTTCACAAATAAGCACATTTCCACTTGGCAAGAGAAAAAAACCACCCACTGTAAAGTTAGGACACCCCGTGGAGTCACTTTAAATACAATTATGACATTTCTTTTAGCGAGCAGGCAGCTTCTTTCTGGTCTTACCGTTAAAGCAGCGAGTGACATGAAGCTGATCAGGTTGTTCCACACTTTATCGATGTCCTTCAGCAGCTGCTGGAGTTTCTCACTGCAAACAGCGGTCGCTTTGATGCCCAGTTCCACTCTCTTTGTCACTCTGTAGACTTCCACAACCCCTGGGGATGTAAAACACAGGGGAGGATTGCAGAGAATGCACTGGATGCCAGAACTTTTAACTCAGACGTGGCAAAAATGGGGATGGCACGGGAGAGGTGGGCATGGAGGGTCAGTTCAAAGCAGGAGGTGCATTTATTTAGCAGAATAGTTATTCGTTATTTAGGTGCAGGCAAAGATTAGGTTAAAAAATAATGCCATTTTGGGAAGGCTGGTTCTATATTCCTGTTTTTGAGAGAAGAACTTTCAACGTAAAACACACGGAAAATTGAAACATACCCAGTAAATATTCCATGCCTTGGGCAGACTGGATAACTTCAGTGCAAACAGATGAGCTACTTATTCCATTCAAGGTGTCGTTTGCTTTCTTTATGACCTGGTAGAAATGAATTTCATAAAATGATGGGGTTATCTACCTTTAAATAATCATTATGAACAGGACTGTCCCCAGCAGAAACTGTTATACAAAAAAAGAGGTAAATTAAATAAGAAATGCTTGCTGCACTCCACCACGTGTTTTTATACACTCCTGCTGTAAGCAGATCAGGGGAAGAGAAGAACATTTAAAACCTTAATGTATTTCCCCTGGTATTTTGATTACAAAATAAGAGTTTTATGAGCATGCATGCCTTGCTACCTCGTTTAGTAACAGCATTCACAGTTTGGGCTGTCTAATACTCAAATGCAAAGAAGGAATTTTAAGGAGAGCTGACCCAGCTGTGAAATGAAATATCTGACACTGGTCAGCAGCAAACAAATGGTCCCTCAGCACAGCACAGAAACAAACCTGTTCCTCAGGAACCCCTGGGGAGCCACATCCTGGTACCAGTGCTCTGAGCAACACAGTCCTGGGCACCCAAACCCAGAAACACCCCCCCAACTCGTGAGCTGGAACCTTTAGGGAAAAGCCAAACTAATCCCCAGTGACAGGGAGATTAGTGTAGGGTGCTGAGCTGGGGAGGTGACGCTGCTGCTGCTGCTGGGTGACAGCTTTGGGGTTTTAATTTGTAATTCCCAGGGCTGATTCCCACCCTTCCTCTGCCTGTTGGTCTTAAACACCGAGTGAGGTGGTTCCTGCAGGGATCAGGGAAGGATTTGCAGGGGGAGGGGGTGACAGACTCACCTGCAGGGCACTCTCCAGGCACCTCTGCCACTCATAGGCGTACCTCTCACTTTCCTGGGGAGAGGAAGGACAGGCTGAGTCTTATTCCTGCACACATTTATTTCCCTTTCTCTGACACAACAGACACACAGCAGAAAGGTATTTCAAAAGACTATTTGCAGATCAGCCACGTGAACTTTCAACATATCTATTCTTAATTTTCCCCCATTCTCTCAACATTCTCTTTGCACCTGAACTCTAAAATTTGATTTCTGGGAGTCACAAAAGGAAGAACATATACATGAGTAAAAAGTTTCATTGCACACACCCCCTCCTGACACTTTTGTCACAGTCTGCTGTTCTAGAGATGGGGATTAGCGGAATTTAATCTGAGTCCTTTTCCATCCCTTCTCAGGATGAGCAAGAGAAATAAGTACCATGCAGCCAAAAAGTGATGCCATTTCCCAAGGCAAATGGTTCTCCGTGCCAAAGCTGGGATTAGATTTAAATTGTAACTAATTTCCAGTTATAAGCTTAGGCTGCAAGGTCAAGTGATTCTGTGTTTCAGACAACAGCATTTTCCCACTTCACAAGACTTGAGAAGAAAGTTCCATTAAGAGCAGTTTCCACTCACAACACCCAGCTTTACCCAGACGCCACCTTAGAATCACACCCCGAGTTCAAAGAGCTGAAGTCCCAAAAAACTGGATACAGAACACCCTTGAGCTCACCCTGATGATGTCACTGCCCATTATTCACTTGTGTTCCAGGTAGTTCCTTACCTCCACCTCCCCAGTCAGGTCCTTGTACTTGTCTCTGATGACGGGCAGTGCCGGCTTCTCGCTCAGGGTGTTGGAGCGATCCCTGAACGGCTGCTCCAGGGCTGGCAGAGGTGAGGAGCGACTTATCTCCCTGTCACCCAGGCTCAGGCTCCTTTTGTGAGACCCTAAAGAGGCAGGTTATAAAACAAGTTACTCCTTTACTCATAAATCACAGAGTATTTAAAATGTCTGAAGGGGCACCAAGTGTTGTCCCACTCCTCCGGAAGAACAAATCATTTTATTTGCTCAGTGACTGGTATGAATTTCCCCAGTTTTCCATTTCTTACAATTTTTTGGCACAATAAATGCTTTCCTTGTAGAAAAAGACCAGCTTCAAATGCCACAGAAATCAACAAGAAGATTCAGGTCATTTCCATCAGCCTCTGGAACAATCCCCATTAGCCAATTTTATAATTCAATTAGAAAAATTAGCCTTTGATGAGCAGATGCATCATGAGCTTCCTCCACCCTGCGCAGGCTTACCTTGCACAGACAGGTCAAAGGTAGCCAGCTCGCTCCTGATCATCTCTTCACTGGATTTCACCTTGCCTTGGGAAGTCGCCACCAAGAAGTCAAACTTGCTGATTTTTGGTTTCTCGCTTTGGAATTCTCCAAAGTCATCCGTGGATTCCCTTCGCAGCTCCGAGGAGACACCGGCAGCGAGGAGATCAGCCTCCTGGGCTGTGTCAGCCGCTGCTGCACCCTGAGCTTCCGAGGAAGGTCTCGCAAAATCCCCAAAGTCTGCGATGTCATCGTCGCTTGGCCCGCTGGAGATCGGCCCGGAGTCTTTAAAGTTTGCAAAGGCTGCAAAGGAAACGTCCTGTAAGGCATCCTCGCTGGAGAAGGTTGTCACTTTGGAAACTGTTGTCATGGTGATGTTTTCTGAGCTGCCAAACAAGGTCTCCTTCTTCTGGAGGACAGAAGTGGCCGCGGAGGATCCGCTCCCCGAGGGCTGGGCGAGGCCGGGGAGCCTCCTGCCCTGCTGGAGGTCGTCCCTGTCGGACCAGTCGGAGCTGGCCAGGCTGCTGACTGCAGAGCCACTGGTGCAGCTTCCCAGCGGGGCGCATTTTAAGTCATCGATATCTGAGGGAAACAAACCCCCACAATTAGAGGCCGAAGTTCAAACGCAACCGGCCGAGAGGCTGAAAGAACCGGGAGAGCAGGCCCGGGAACTGGAGTGCCGGTGAGCCTCGAGCTAAAGTTTGCACAGAAATAATCTGAAAAAAAAAACACCTGAGCATTTAACACAAAAATCTCCCAGTTCAATAAATGTAAGCCTTGACCTTTGAATGCTGCCTTACGTTTTAAGCTCAAAGTCACCACCCTGCTACAGGTAGTGAAGAAAGACTAAAAAAAAATAAAATCCATGTTTCTGGTCAGTCCAGGCTGCACAGATCACCAGTTCAGCTTCCTGGCTGCGGGATCTACAATCAAAATATAAATGTTACAACTCAAACATCTTAACACGTTATTTCATCTTATCAAACCCAGCCACACAGAAGACTGGGCTGACTTTTCCATTCCTCTGATAAAGCATTAATACACCTTAATTTTATATTCATGCTTTGATACAAATAACACATAAAAATGTGCTGTAAGAATCTAAAAAACCTAGAAATCCTGTTTAAGCTTATCAGAGCTCCTGCAGCGCTGCACGGCCGACTCGTCCAACTTCCAGGTGCCAGGACTGACAGGGATATTGGGAAGATCATGTTTTAACTGAATAAACAGTTTGTAAAAGCTAAGTCTAGAGAAAATCCAATTATTTTGCAGAAAGCTCCAAACATTTATACTCACCTGGTGATTACATGGGCCAATAGGTTCTTCTCCCTGCCCGGGGGCTCCGCTGCTCCCACCCCACTGATCTTTCACCTTCACACTGAGACTGATCCCCAGTGAAGGCACAGAGCCAGGGGCTGGGCAGTTTTCATTAAAGCATTAAAAAAAAAAAAACAAAACAACAAACCAAGCCTCCTCTCCTACATTTGGCATTTGTTTTCCAGCATTAGCAATTGTCAGTTCGGATTAGACATCCGGCTGCACAGCGCCCGGGGTCCAGCGGGCTCGAGGTACAGCAAACCCAAACCACAAAATGCATCCTCTGAGTGTTGTCTGAGCTGAGATTCTGGTGATAAACACCATGGTCTGGCACACTGGGGTTTAATAGAGCCAGGGTGGGAACAAGCTGACTTCCCAGCTGCCCTCCTTATTTGATCCAGCCACACCAGCCTGAGGATTAAACCATTTTAACAAACCATTTCTGCCTCGGTTTACTCCTTTCACTGGAAGGGCAGAGCAGGCCAGGCTTCAGGCTGCTTCCCAGGCATGACCCACATACACTGCTAATGAAAAATCTAACAAATACACAATATAATGATGGAGTTTAATGGGCCAGCCAGGCACGGTGTGTGTCATCCATCAGCTCTTCCCGAGGGTCTTCCCGCAGCTGCCAATTTGCCCGTGACAGCATCCCAAACCCAAACTGAGCCCCTCGCACACAGACAGCAAGACTTCAAAGTGCCACTTGAATATTAAATGTGCAGAGAAGCAGAAGGTAAACAGAGGAGAGATGGAATCACCTGCTCACAGCAGAACTGCACGGAAAGGAGGCTCCGAGGTGAAAGGAGCCGACGGGAGAGGGATCGGTGATTTATCACCACAAACCACATCTTGTGCTCTCAAGTTTTTGTTTAAAGAAGGGAAATGAAAGCTTTGCATGAAAGAGGGAGCCAGGAGCACCTCCGACACGTCAGCCAACTGTAATTAATCCTGGGATCTTGGAAATACCACCGGCTACTAGGCAACCTCTTTTTCTTTTCCAATTTGTGTTGACTCCAAAGCCCAGCAAAGATTTGAGCATTGCTATTGTTCCTGTGTTCCCTGGGAATGAAAGGGAAGAGTGATGAGCCCTCTGTGAGGACCTGCACACTCACGTCCTGTTGTGAATTATTCCTTTGATAACTGCTAAGATTTTGAGCTGCAAACACATCCCAAAGGACCAGGTCAGTGCATTCCTGATCCCACCCTGGCTCAGGGACAGGCAGGACCTGCAGCAGGCTCCAGAGGGGAATCCTGAACTCCCCTGCAATCAATAGGTCAAGGCAGGGAAGGCCGAAGAATAGTTTAATTATTCACAAACTAAGATGCAAGATTGTCTCCGTGAACTCAGGCAGACACAAAACCTCTGCAGAGCTGCGAGGGCTGAGGTGAAATGTGATGGTCCAATTCTGTACATTTGATTTATCTGGATAGTTCCAACAGGATTACTCTGGTGAATAAACTTCCCTAGGAGTATTATATTACAGAAAAAACAGCGTGTTCAGAGCTGAAGTGTTTACAGCTCGAGCCGTTTGAAAACAATTTAGGGAAAAGCACGGAAAACAAGAACGTGGAGCTGCCCATAATCCCAGGTAAACTCGCTTTGGGAAGAATTTTACAGGAGAAAACCTACACCATTTTGCTGTGCCATGTGCTGCACTTCAGAGGATCACCTGCCACAGCTTGGAGGTTTCTGAAGAGAGGAAGTAAAACCCTCCCCTGTGTCACAGTCACGGCAGAGCAAAAGGATCCTCTGAGCTCTTGGCACGTTTGCTGCCTGACGAGGAGGAGTTTTACCCCCAGCAGGTTCCAGAGCAGTGGCCACCACTAACAGGTGAAGCAGCAGCTCCCACGTGCACAGCAGTTCTCACTGACCCCCAGGAACCCTTTGAGGTGTGAGTGTCTTTACTGCTGGCACAAAGATTGGTTCCTTAAGCAGCGTTAAGAGCTGCTCCTCCCAGAGCACAGATCTGTGTCAGCTCTGGTTACAGTGGGGCAGCCTTGGCCTATGATGCAACAAAGCTTTGTTTTGCCAGTGAAAAAAATTTAAATTTTAAATATTTTTAAGTATGAATGTCTATCAGTAATACTTTTCGCAAAGCAAGAGACGATTAAGTAAGGGAGAAAATTAATTACTTCTAACTAAGCATCACATGGGGGCAAGACAGAGGCCACAGAGCAACCCCAATGTCCTCCTGGAGGACAGGAGCAAGAACAGGATCTGAACTGATGAGAAACATCAAATTTCACCCAAAAAAAAAAAAAAAAAAAAAAAAAAGAGCAAAGACTTAATCCATTCAAAATTCTACCAAAATTCTTCATTTTGGGGGCACACAGTTTTTTGGTAAAGTTAAAACCAAACCCAACTAGTATTTCTTTCAAACCAAAAGGTTTGGAATATTTACCATCTATTTTCCATCCAGTTTTCCATCCAATCTGAACTCCCAAACCCAAAGTCCAACCTGCCTGATGCTCACCTGGGACCAGCTACACCTGTATGAGCCTGACAGGATGAAATACAATTAAAATCCTGTCTCCCAGTGTTATCAGTAAAAAACTTGCCATCCCTGATTTGAGCCAACTATAATAATTTATTCCAACTACCAAGGTTTAAGTTATGGCTGGAGGCCACTTACAAGCTGGAGCCTTCAATGTCAACAGCTTAATCATTCCAGGAAAACCCTCCACAGCACCAGTGATCGCCTAAAGAACAGCAAAAAAGGCAAATCCAGAGGACTGGAATAAATTTAGTGCTTTTAACCAGCACAGGAGGGTTTCAGGTTTTTGGATTTCGGTGCCTGTGAAATCCTGATGAAGTCACTGTGAGTCCTGTGCCACGTTCTGGTTGTTAGGGTGACGCAGTTCTGCTCCCAGCGGAGCAGCAGCAATCCTGTTACCCTGGGAACATCCCCTGCAGCCTGAGCAACAATGCAGGGCCTGGATGGAGACAGCACCACCTCCTCACCACCTCCTCACCACTTCAGGGGGTCTCTGCCTGGCAAAGGTGGGAGGAAACTGGGGGAACAGGGAGCTGTGGGCACTGCTGCTGTGGGTGTCTTGCCTGCCAGCAACCACAAAAATCCAAAGCCCATTTCTCAGCTGGGGAAGTCTGGAACAGCTGATCATAAGGGAATTATTCCCATTTCCTCTCCCTACAGGATGGAAGTAGCTAAGGTGGAAACCATCGAGAATGCTGACTGTAAAATAAATGAAAATGAAAGAAACAGAAAAGCCTCCAAACCTGATGGAATTAGAGGATTTGCTAATTACTTTTAAATTATCACGACAAACAACGTTTCACAGCAAAATAAAGCCCCCTGAGCTCACTCTGGGAGCTCAGTCCCACAGAGGCCCAAGGCAGCTGCTGCCCCTGTGCCCTTGGGAAGGCCATGGCAAACGTGTCAGAGACCTTCCCGGGATAAATCCGGGTGGATAAGCTCCTCTGTTTACAGAATTAACTTCAATGAGAGCAAGGCAGTGAATCTGACTGTCAAGCCTGGACAAAAAAGTAATAAATATAGTCTGGAACGTTCCTCTCCCTCCTGCAGGTGTGATTAGCTGAACAAACACAAACAGCTCGGGCCCTGCAGAATTAGGGCTCAGGTTTATGTTCAAAGCTTTGATTTAAAAAGCTTTAGGGCTGGGCATGACCTGCTGATCCCCAGAATCAAAGAGGGTTGTTGTGGGGGGTTTTCTTCCCCTTTTTCTTTTAAAGTCTCTCAAGCTCAGCGTAAAAAAAAAGCCACATTCTGCTTCCTGGTCTGGTCTTTGCTCTTGTGGCAACTCCAAAACCCCACAACATTTTAACTTCATTCCACATCTCAATTATTTTCATCTTTTTACCTTGTCTGCTAATTTAATGTTAATCCTATGTGGCCCAGGATTTGGAGGAATGTGAAGTGACATAATTACAGGCCACAAATTGGCAGCTGTCACTCATGGTTGAATGTTCTGATATTCAGAAGGCAGGACTCCCAAAATGGAAAAACGGAGCAGGGTGTTTACTTTGGGGCTCTGATGAACTCACTTCAGATTAGCTAAAGAAATATCTGAATATTATTTGATGGGCTTCTACTCAAAAAGGCCTAGCCAGCAACACAGTTTTCCAGTTCCAGCTCACAGAAAAAACCCTGCCACCACACATTTTCTCTACTCAAACCCTCTCAAACATTGCTCTTCTGAAAAAATATTATTTAGGCTGATATGTAAAGGTTCAGAAGGTCACAGGGAGCCAGGTCAAAGCTTTGGAAGAGGAGAAAGAAGCTCACCCACACTCTGCTCTGCAAGAGGAAAGGCACCCACCGGCCTAAGGGGATACTAGAACTTTAAACTTTGTATTTTTGAAGAGAAAGAGATACATTGCTGGTTTGCAACAAATCACACACATCCCCACGTTTTGAAAATATGCCAAGATAATATTTATTAACACAGCAGGACTTACAGATCACAAAAGATAGTGATACAGAGAGGCTCGGGAGGGCGGTATCAGAGTAAAGCATGCAGGTCAATACTTGCAGAAGAGAGATATCAAAGCAGATCTGAAAAGGCACATTCACACAGGAAATGTTTAGTTGAAATCAGACATTAGAAAAAAAGCAGCAAAAAAACCTGAAGTCGATTAAAATGTACAGAGATCTCCAATAATGCCAAAGGAAAAGGTACTTTACAGGGGTGTCAGTGCAGCAGAATAACCCTCTGGGACGGGGTTCGCTCTCGCTGCAGGAAGAGCAGATCAGGTCCATCCAACACGAGGAGGTGCTGATTAAAATGCTTCCAACTCAGAGGGAAACGAAATTTGGTAGAAAAGAAGCAGCCTGGTTGAAACTAATGACATGCAGCCAGTGCTCAAAGGGTTATAGGGAGTGAATGCAAGAGAAATCAGGCAGCGTTAGTATCATCTACCTTCCACACAGAGTCAGAGCAAAGTTTAAAGAGACTGTATCCCCCTGGGAGAGAGCAAAACTGGGAACCTTTCACCCCTCAGAGGACAAAGCACGGGAAGCACCTCAGGGATTTCCTCCTAATTCCCAGCGTCAGCACCTACCTGCCCATACCTGGAAGCTGTACCAGGGTGAGATCTCAGAGCCAAGGGATAAACACACCTCTGTGTGGGGATGGCAGAAAGCCAGACCCCCTCCCAGCACCTCTGTCCTGCTGCTGTTCCACTGGAGATGTGACACAGGGCTTGCAGGAATGCAGCTCCCAAGGAGCAGCGAGGTGACAAAGGGGTTACTGTCCCTTTCTGACATTGCGTTTACCGAGCGAAGGAAATTATGAGAGGGGAAAAAAAAAAATCTGCTTTTTAACTTCATGTAAACTGGGGGGAAAAAAAAAAAAAATAAAAAGGACTTGCCCATCAGCAGTTTCACAGCTTGAAATGCACCAAACCCGCAGAAAGGAAGAGGGGTGTTCGCAGCAGATTGTCCAGAGCGTGTTCTGCTACGGAATGCAAACAGTTAAAAGGAGCAAAACCCTCCCTGTGGAGTAACATCCAGCTTGGCACCATAGGAGAATACAGGCTGGTTTAATAAAAATAGCTTCTAATTAGTACTTCAGAGTTCAAAAGTTTAGCAACAAGCACGTTAAGGGCTAACCCCCTTAAAGAAACCAAAAAAAAAAAAGGCTTTTCCTGCCACAAATGGCAATTATTCATCAAGGATTGCTGTGGTAAAAGCTCACGTCCTGTAAAGAGCTACAGAAGTCAAACTACCACTAAAAGAGGCTAGAAAAATATTAGGAAAAAGTGCTTTCAAACCCAAAGTAAACATTCAAGAATACACTGTAGGTGCTACGTTTTGACAGCTCACTCAACTTGGAGTTTTCCCAAGCAGTAATATGAAAATTAAATGTCTTTGCTAATAAATTATTCCTGATATTTTGTACCCTGTTAGAGAGTATCTTCCACCTCAAAATTGCCAACTTAATTCTCACCCCTACTTAAAAATATCATATAATGCAAAATTACAGTACTGTATATTTTTTTTTCTACCCATATCCGCAAAAAATGGAAGAAATACTTCGTGTGGAAATAACCAATTCTTGCAGTAAGAGCTTTTACATTTACAGTTTGTATGTTCCCCTGTTCAGAAAAGCCTTTGACTGCATAAAACTTGTTCTAGAACACAGTAATGGTTCCCATGTTGTTGAAGGCCACAGAACATTGAACTACAGCTTATCTCCTATGTCTACATGAAAAGAAAAAGCAGGACACTTGGGAAATCTGCTTTGTGATATGTGGTCGGATCAGATGGTCAGTTCACTCCCTCGGGAATGATGTCATACAGGGAAATTCAAGCAGGTGGAAACCTGATAAAGTAGGAGTCCCATGGTTTAAATTTAGGTCCAAGAGTTCCCAATCAGGAGAGCAGCACTTAGAGCCCCTTGGCACAATGATTCCTAGGAGGGATTGAACACTGAAAGGTCTGTGAAATACTCCACCTGCAGTCCTGCAAAGCCTGGCTACACTGACTGAGCCCCATCATGAGGGGAACGCACCAGTGTTGCTGATTAGTCAGAACCTCATTAACAACCCAGAATAGTGTTCTGCCGACCCTTGGGAAGCCCCCAAGCCAAATGCTTTGTGGAAACCAAGATTAAAGGGAGACTCTGCCATCATCCTGCTGATAAAAACGGAATGACATTGTTTGCATTAGAATATTTTCCACTTGAGTCCCTCAAGAGCCAATAGCAAACAGGTACCAGCATGATGTTGTCAAATCTCAAAAATAAATTGGCCTGGAGTTCAAACTGTTCTATTCATAGTCTTCTAGGACAAACACTAATCACTGCCCTGCTGAGGGGCCGTTGGCTGGCAGGGACACACACTGAGGGTCTTCCACTACTGAAAGACGAGTGCATAATACTGTAATTGAGCACAGAGAACACGAAACCTCCACCACCTCTGCTACCAGAGCAATCTAACCAGTTCCTCACCTGCTGCTGGTGGATGCTGGCCACTAACTGTTGGCAAATCCAAAGAGCTATCAGACATGACATGCTTAAGATCTCCTCCCACATCAGCCAGTTTCATGTCAAACTGAACAGACAGCGCGTCTTCGGAATCCTCCTTGCCCACGCTGCTGCCCCCGATGGACGGCAGATCCAGGGACTTCACCGAAGCAGAGTCTTCTTTGGCCTGCTTGAAAGCTGCCACTTTGTCCACCAGTGACTTATCCACGCTGCTGCCCGTGGAAGAAAACTTGCTGGAGTGGAAGTCGGCAAAGTCATCATCGCTCTTCACCGAGGAGAGCGCGCTGTCCTTCGCCTCCTCAAAGCCCGCTCCGGAGCCTTCCAGAGACAGCTGTTTGAAGATGTCATACTTGGTGGGCGTAGCAGCGGTGGCAGAACTCTGCCCACCCTTCACTGCGCTGGCAGAGGAGCCAGCCTGAGGAACAGGACCGGCCTCCAGCTTCAGGGCATTGTATTTGTCATCCGGTTTTTGCTCAGAAAATCCACTGCTGTTGTTGAAAGCCATAAAGTCTGCAAAGTCATCTTGTCCACTGGCTGATGCGCCGTTAGAAAATTCCCCAAAAAGGTTGAACTCTCCAAAGTCATCAGCTAAGCTGGAAGCTTTGCTGGGTGCTGGCTGGGCAGTGGTGGATGGAAGGGGCGGGGGGGGAAAGGAGCCCGGTTTTGAGGCGTTAAATGCGGGTGGAAAGGATGGCTGCTTGTTTTCTCCAGGAGAGGAAAAGAGATCCAAGTCTGCCAGATTCAAAGGGGTCTTGGCTTGTGTTTGCTGCTTTGGCTGAGCAGGCAGAGGAGGGAAGGGTGCAGGGAAGGTTTTGTCCTTTGTGGGTGGCTCTATTGGTGAGATACTGTCAGCGGTTTTGAAATCTGTGAAACCATCATCGACTCCTGCGGGCTTGAACTCTGCAAGGTTATCTCCTGGGAACGAAAACGGGGAGAAAACAACAGTAAAACACTGCAGCAACAAATACATCATACTCACACCATGCATGCAAGCAAATTATTTCATGCAATGTCAGAAGTTTTTATGCAAACTATTTAAATTAAAGACCTCCGGATGCACACAGAACTGCAAACTCAACTTCCATGAGCCACACAAGTGTCAAGGTCAGCAATTCCAATATCCACTCCAGCAAACGCTTAATTCCTGAAGTCATATTAAATTCCTTTTTCACTGAGTTCATACCAAAACACGCCATGACAAACAGTTTCAAAAGGTGATCAACACTCTCTTATTCGGCTTCCACTCAAGTTCCTCCCCCCACCTCGTCCTTCTCGTGTTTGCCAAGCAGTGAATGTAATTCTGAATGTCACTTACACCGGTTCAGTTTTGCTTCCTTACAGGACCAATTCCTCCCTTCCTCCCCCTGAAATACTGCAGTTTCCTCATGGAGCATCTAACCAGTCCTGTTTTCTGCCAGATTCACCTGAACATCCACAGTAAGAAGTGCTCAGAACTTTGGGAACTGCAGTTGTGCTCAGAGCCCGGACAGGCTCCCACAGGAACGTGGGCACAGCTAACCACGAGTGCTGCCCTCCAGCCCAGCTCCCCACTGCATGCCAGCTCGTGCTGTGCAAGGATTAGAATTTAAACCTGATTAAACATTAGCTGACAATGTTTTCATTGAATTCACGTTAAATATTTTGGCGTACTAATTTTCTAAGTTTCTTCCTGTTCACGCACAAATATTTTTTTTATAAAGCAATTCCTTTCAAACACGAAAATGTTGACTTGTTTAACCCATTCACCAGCATGTACATACTTGGACTACTTGTAATTTTAAAGTAATGATGCTTACTTTAAGACAAGTGTCCAATAAACTGATTTTTTCTACTTTAGAAGTACACCATTAACATTTAATTTTTTAGCTACCACACAGTGTCATACTTTGAAGTAGTTTAACTGAATTTTAAATACAGATTTAAAGGAATACTCTTCATAATGGTAGTAAAGGACCACAACCACACCTGACCTATTCTTCCGTTCTCCCTCCCCTCCAAACCAATTCACTTGGCTCAGCAACAAGATAAATATTCCTGAAATTGCCACTCATTGATCAAAACTACAACAGCACAGCAAACTAAACTTACTGATGAATTGCAAAGCTTCCCATTAGAAATGTGAGCTGGTGAAAGGGTTAAGAGTGGTCAGACCTGGACAGCAGGCAAGCACAGTCATTTTCTGCATTTTAGAACATGTACAGAATGAGATCAAATGTTATCCCATTTCACTGCAAGCATTTAATCCTCAAGAGGTTCTGAGCACGAGAACCTCACAAAACATTAAAACATTATTAAAACAAATTCCAACCATGTCATTTACTTTAAAACAAAACTCAGGAGCACCCAGAAGAGATGCCAGTCTTCCAGAAACACAATTAGCAGATTGTTCCAAGAGGATCTAGTTTTTTTCAGGATATGCTTCCTGCTAAGTTGCTTAGAGAAGCAGAAGCACCATTATTTTGGAATTCCAGCAAGGGAAACTCTGCAGCTCGTACAGAGAAATGCTAAAAATTATGATGAAAATATGTGAAAGCCCCAGTGCTTACCCAAGTATTTGCTCTCTGCTGGCTGCTCCAGTTCCCGGAAAGCGCTGTACTTGTCCCCTCCATCTGGAGAACATGGGGAAAGAAAGACATTTACATACATATATTAGGAATTCACAGGGTAAATTTTACATTAATTGCTCTAGTTTTTAAATATTAATATCTTATCAATGCCAAAAATAAAATATATGAAATATTACACTATATGGCTCATAGTGGTTGTGTATTTGTCCTTTTACCTCCAAAAGCAGCTGCAGTCTCAGGAGGCTTCTCAGCTGCCATTCCTTTAAACACAGCGTATTTATCAGCTGGTGAGAGTGGCTTATTACCTGGGAGTGGCATTAGTAAGGAAGGAACACTAAAAACAAAAGAGATAAAAGCAAAGTTCCTTAATTCCTCCATAAGAAATCTACATTTCCAGGTTTTATTTAAAGGAGCCTCTTATTACAGCTCCAGCCCTAATGAGTGCTTAGTCCAGAACCTGATGTGAAGGACCTCAGCTGGGTGAATTCCCAACTTTATCTCAGCTAATAATTTTTTTTTTTTTTTTTTAGGCCAGAAGTCAATTTGCCCCATTCTTGATTTTAATTTCTAGCAAAACATGGACAAAATACTCCAGAACACCACAGGAATTTACAGCCCCAAAGAGAACAAGCACACAGATTTATCCCAGGAATCACTGCTGCTTAAGTGATGCCTTTTGAAAATTCTCCCTGATACAACTGGATACAGTAAAGAGCTAAAACTGCATAAGATTTTCACAGCTCCACACTTTCAGCTTATTTGATTTTGCTTCCATTTCACTGCATATTGCAAAATTGAGAGAATAAAGTGTTAAAAGTGAAAGGAGAACTTGGAATTTATGTCAGCGCCAATCAGTGAGTTTAGGCAGGTATCTAGTCAGCAAAATAAGGATTAATCCACAGTTCCACAGTCAAGTCTTTTTGCATAAACACACCCTACTTCTTACAGTAAAACTGCCATAACAACCTAACACCATGTTAGCAACTGCTGGAAGATTTAGGAGCTGTTCTGGGAGAGCTTTGCTCGCCCTCCACACAAGCCCCCTTATCAGACCTTGGCAGCTCTGCACAACAACATCCTTTACATATGAATGATGCATTTTACCTCTAGTTCTCGTCATTCACACTGAAAACCTGAATGAATTTCTATGGTGTTCTTCAGCCTGGAGCAAGAATCTTTCCAGAGCCATTTAAATCTCCTTATCAGCAGCCTCCAAGCAACACACAAGCCAAGCACTTTCACACACGTGCTGGTGCTGGGCTGTGGTGCTTGCAGACAGACAGTGCAGTGGCAAAAAAAACAGAGCTTATGGTAATATAATTAAATTTCCCATCCCTGCAAAGCAGGCTATTAGATATGCAATCTTGGCAAATGGAATGGTTAATCAGCTGTACTCCACAGATGGCTTTTTTTTTAAATAAAGCTCCATAAGCAATTAGATTATGGCTCATTGTAACATTTTGTTCAAAACTGAACGCTTTCACAAGCGAATAAAGAGAGCTGTTGCAGTGAAAAAGAAACACCATTTTTGAAATATTTTTCTTTTTTTTATGATCCCCTACTTCCCATTGTGCAATTTACAAACAGTTTTCTGTCAAAACCTCCAGTAATGGATCAGCTTTAGTGGCAAAATGACATCTAATGTAAGATATACTTAAAACAGCATCTTCAGATCCGTGTGGCACTGACTGACCCATCCCTGGAAGAGTTCAAGGCCAGGCTGGATGGGCTTGGAGCAACCTGGGATTGTGGAAGATGTCCCTGCCCATGGCAGGGGGTGGGAACTGGATCGTCTTTACAGTCCCCTCCAACCCAAACGGCTCCAGGATTCTATGCCATCAGCAAAATTACCTTTTCTTACACAGAAACCATTTGTCAGTGTAACAGAACAACCTGGCTGAGCATCCCCATCTGATGTCACTGGTGAGGAAGCATCTGGTAATCAGTGCTCACCTGGAAATCCTGGTTCTGTTTGCCACCAAGAACAGTCAGTTCATACACAGACAGTGTGTCTGTCTACAATTAAGACACCTGGGAGCTGCATAAAAGTTTGCCATGAGCAGCAAAAGGAAAGAATGGTGAAATTATGTAGTCTTTGTAGACTTTGAAAGATTAATTGTAAACTCTCAGGGGGAGGACACATGCTTACTTATTCTGTTATTCAAAATTTGCCTGATCTGGAATTACATCTTGGCAGGATCCCACAAGGAAAAGCCAGAACTGCTGGACTCTGAATGAGGTTTCGACTGAGATTTATGGTCAGGTATCAAAAGTTTAAGCACTGGACAGAGAGATGACAGAAATAACCCCTCTGTCCACTGGAGTTCTCAGGCATTTAGGAGTACAACGTTGTGTTCTCTACATGAATTTTGGGGTCCATATTCAGGGCCTGAAGAAAAGACCTTGATGTCAGCAAATGGTTTCTATGAAATCCAAGAAACACTTTTCCACTTTAGAGGGGTCCTACTTGTAATGGGAGGTCACAATACTGGATGCAGAACTCCCCTGTCCCAGGGTATTCTTCCTGAACAGCTTGACATAAGATTTCCCCCTGGATGCACAGTGTGAAGTAACTTTCAATTGCCTGTGCAGGACTATAAACCCCTGAAAACCTACATCCAAACCTCGTAAACCCAATTGACCTCAGCAAGATGACTGGAATGCTAAAGAAAAATCAACCACCTATGGCACACCAAGTGCCATTTTTGATTCAGGAAGTCTAATTGCGGCTGTAAGAACCTTCAAAAGAAACTGTCAGAGTAGAAGTCAGGTGATGGATGAAAATTACAGGCTAGAAAGGTCCCCACAAAGAAGGAAAACATTTCAGTTCTTAAAAGAGTTCTAAAATACAGCAGGGGTGGAAATCAAAGATGGTACCTGCTCCGGTGCTGGGAACTGGCTGCTTTGGAGGAACCAGCTACATCCCCTTGGAAATCAGTGAAAGAATCATCCAGGGAGCCAGACTTTGAAGCATCTTGAAACTCCTGGAAGTCATCATCTTCTGGTTTTACTACCTGAATTACAAACAAGTAAATTGCTATGCTGTTGGCTTTCGCAACTGCCATACAGCATGAAAGCAGCTCAGAGCAGTGTGACCAAGAGGAAAGAAGGAAGGAAAAGAACCTTTCAGCATTAGCATCATCAGCATTTCCACTCTGCCTGCACCTCACCCAACTCACACACACACCAGGTGTACAGGGTTACAGGGAGCAAGCACGAAGAACAGGTGAATAAGGAACCCTACTCCTTTCACAGCATTGTCATCTTTAAGTACAGGCAAATATTAATAATTTAAATCAATCAATAATTTAAAATCAATAACACAGCAAAAGCATCACAAGAGAGATTTTCCAAGGGATGAACCGTATTTGCAAACAGCAAAATTTATCCCCCCTTGCCGTGATTTACCTTTGGAAACCAAAAGCTTTCTGAGTTCTCAGCCTCTCCTGAAAACCCTTATTTTACCAGCTATTAGAGTCTGATGTGTAGCTCAAATAAAATTCTATTTTATGTGCATTACAAAATCCTAGAACTACACCTAAAATCCCCTTTGTAACGGAGACGCTTGTGTGCCTCTGCTAGTGCCACCAGAAAGAAAAAGTGAAAGAACACCCTTAGTGGCACAACTTCACCTTTTCAGACATCGCCTGTCAGATTTCAGCTCTGCTTTTTGCCAGTTACCCAAAGCCTGCTGTCCCTCTGTAGGTCTGGCAGCTCCAGGCTAGTTCCCTTTCCCGGGAAGGGGGGTTTTCCAGGCAGGGGGAGCGGGCTCACCTGGCTGGGCGGGTAGGAGGGCAGGAATGCTCCGGAAGGCTGAGCTGCAGCTCCTGCCGCCGGGGCCGGCGTGGGGGCCGGGATGCCCATGCCCATGACGGGGGGCCCGATGCCGAGGGGCACGGAGGGCACAGAGGGCATGGAGGGCACAGAGGGCACGGAGCCTGGCGGGGCCGGGGGCAGCAGTGGGGGTTGGCTCACGGCGGGCAGGGCCACAGGGAACCCCGACAGAGTGGGAACGGGCGCAGCGGGAAACTGGTTCAGCACGTCGGGACTGACTGCGGGAATCCCCCTCTGCAAAGGAATGAGCGGACACCGGTTACATGTAAGTGGATTACATTCAGTACAGAATCACAGCATCACTGAGGTTGGAAAAGCCCTCCAAGACCACCGAGTCCAACCTGTGACAAAGCCCCCACCTCGCCACCCAGCCCAGAGCACCGAGTGCCACATCCAGTCATTCAAACTTGAACACGTCCAGGGACGGGGACTCCACCACCTCCCTGCGCAGCCCCTCCCAATGCCTGACCACCCTTTCCATGAGGAAAGACTCACAGACTAAGGGACACAGGAGCCACAGAGTTTGAGCAGAACAGATCTCAATACAACAGGAGGAAAGCAGGCAGTATTTTATACAAAAAACACATACTGATGTGTTTGGTAAGTGTATCCAAGACCTTCCACTGACACTGAAGGAGTAAGGGATGAAATTAATAACATTATAACCCCGCTGAAGTTACAAGGGCAGTATCTCCTCCAGACTTCCCCAGAAGTAGTGCTTTACTCCAGCGTGGAGCAGCAGCCCCTGGTGCTCCCCTCCCTGGGGCCATCAGCGCCGTGCCCTGCCCCGAGCGGTACCTGCGTGACGGCCACCATGGCCAGCACGGCGTACAGCTCCTCCTTGGTCAGCTGCCCGGGTGTTGTGCGGTTGGCCAGCGCCCAGATCTGCCCCAGGGTCTCCCTGGGCAGCCCAGATGACATCAGGATGGGGTAGAGCTTGGCTGTATCTATCCCAGCAGGAGTCAGAGTGCTTTCTAAGATTTTCTTATACAGCTCTGTTGTACAAGAGGGAGTCAGGGTTAGACAGTGACAAGCGCTCTGTCCAAATAAATTTAATATTGCCTTTCTATTCTGTCTCAAACTCAACATTATATCAAATTAGTAACAGTCAGCATAAGGTGAGATAGCAGCATCCTGGTACTGTGCTTCATCCAAAAGCATTATTGGATCATCTTTACAGATAAGTTTAACACAAGCCAAGAAATATTTTATATAAAATCTACTTAGCGTTCCATTTCAAACCATGTTTCTTTAATGAAATTGCAGGATAACACATATAAAAATATAGTTCTAACAGCTTTATGTATTTAAACCTCAGTGTAATCAGTATTTACTACAGCATTTCATTTTCTATTCACTGTGTTATTTACACATACAAGATAAATAGCCTTCAGAAATGAGCCTGCCTAATTACAAGACACACCAAAAACCAGAATACCCATGAAAGCAGAATTATCAGCAATGCAACCTCTGCTGGGATAAGCTGCTGTCATAAATGTTTAAACTAGAATTTCTTAACATGCTTGAATAAAACCCATACTTCCTCAAATGCAGATAAAGCCACCATAAATATGTAACATATCAAAGACACAGGATTCATTTGATGACTGAGTGGCTCTCTGATCCACAGATGGCCACACAAGCACAGGTACACTCACCCCTCACAATGCCCACCTGGCTAAATGCCCCTGTCTGGTTTACCTGGCACCAAGCTGTCGTTGTAAATCCAAGGAGGCATCATTTGCTGAATTGGGTCCTGGGAAGGGAACACTCCAACTCCTAAATGTATCCCAATCAGTAAGAAAAACAAAAGCAGCTGCATTAGGATATACAGAGTATGACGATCTTAAGAGAACAGACCGTGGCTGGTCAGCATCACTCAGCATTTCAGGCAAAGATTTCAGAGAGGAATCACTGTGCTCAGAGGAGAAACAGATACTGCAGGAATATGTATTTCAAAATAAGTACTAGAATGATTTGGCAGTAACAGAGAAAACAGTTATATGTGTAATGAAATCAGGAGCTCCTTACATGCCTCCCTCTTTAATGTCCAGCTGCACAGAAGCACAGGTCTCACTGTCTCACCATTTCACAGCAGCAGTTCTGTGTCATATCACATTCAGCTTCTCATCAACTACCTGCTATTAGGGCTATTTGTGGAATAAATCAATCCATACCTACCATGAAAGCCACAATGTTCCACCAGAACATCCTCACCTGGGAAATCCACAAACAGCCTGTTAGACTGAACCTCAGTGAGACCGTATTCCACATCTCCACTGCTCCCAGCCTTCAGCTCCAGAGGACACCACAGCACCCATCACTACTACAGCCTTTCATGACATCACCTGCCACACTTCACTCCCTGAAAACTGCTTATTCCTCCTCCACTGTGTGGACTCTTCACCTCAGTCTCCTCCAGCAGATTTTATGCTCATCTTGGATGGTGCTCTGACAAAAATCAGAATAATTTCAGATTTCATTGTCTTTCCCAGTGCCCTTGCATCTCCTCATCTTCCACATGGATTCCCTCCTGACTGCAGTCTAATTTCTAATCATCCCACAGCTCCAAGTACATTTTAATGTAAGCAATTCCTTCCATTTCACCAGCCAAGTAAAATAAATTTGCTACCTCCTCAGGTGTCATTATTCTTCAGCTTTAACCCCTCTTCCATACCCTTCTGCATCCTACCAACTCTTGCTTCTCATCCCTGAGTCTCTCTGATAAAATTCAGCCCCCTGAGGATCCAGTAAGTGACATAGAATTCTCAGGTATATTCAGCTGACAGGTAGGAAAGCCTTACCCAAAACCTTGACGACACCCAGGTGACAGGTCTGCCATTTGTAGTTACATGATAATGCAGAATAAATGCCTGTTCCTCACAAAGTACTTGAGCTCATCCTCAGCAACACTGGGAACTATTCTAGTTTTCAGTTAGTCCAGCTTTTAATTTTCATTCCTAAAGCCCAGACAGTTTCAGACATAACAGATATGAGCAACAAATTGTCTGGGAAACAAGTATTAACTAGCTAAGAGTTTTAACCTAACAAGATCTTAACCCTTCAAGGTCAAAAGATTAAAACCCACCATGACATTGACCAACTTTTGCAATAAACTTCCTTAAATACTTAAAAAAATCATAATCTTTAGAGAGCACATCTTTTTATTGACCCAAGGAAGGAGAGAATATTTTAAAGCAGCAAACCTGATTAAACAAACGTGTTAAAGGTGATTACAGCAACAAACTCATGTGGAGAAAGTTCAGAGCAAAAATCATGGCAGTTACACTTTCAGCAAGGAGCAGGAGGCACTGACACATTATTCAAGCAGGTGTTCAGAGCAAAATTATTCAGGGCTGGCCTGGGAATTAGTGAGCTGAGCGTTAGCGGCCAAGCAGCGTCTCATTAGACTGAAATTCTCTCAAATGTTTCCATTGCTCACCACACTCTTCAACTGCTCTGTTTTGTTCTGAAGCCTTGTGCACCTCTGCAGCAGTGGGACCAGTTTCCTGTCCACCTACAACATCCCAGTCACTGCTGGTTAGACTGGGATGAGCTTGGCTTGCAGCCGAGGCTTTGTGCCCACCTTCGGATGTTTTAGGTTTGGTTTGCTCCTGTTCAGATTCATTTGAGCCATTAGCTAAGGCTTTCTCCTCCAAGGAAGCGCCTGAATAAACAGCAGGAGGAATTATTTACACTTTGTTATTAACCACCTGGATTGCAATTCCACACTTTTCAAAGGAAAAGTACTCTTGGCACCACTGATGGGTTAGAGATGAGTGTTTGTCCCAGCTCAGACCAGCGGCACCACTCTCTTCAAACACTTCCATAGCCCCATTCTCACCACACACACAACAAATTCAACAAAAAAAAAACCAAAAGGCAACAAGGAGAAGGAAGACATGAAACTATTTCCTGTGGTAGGATTACTGTTGCATAATCAGTAGCAGAAGTGCCCAGTACCTACTTACATCTCCAAAATTCTTCACGTCTATCTCACCACCATCCCTTCAGCCTCCAAGGGACGAAGCACACAAGTGCTCCACAGTAGCAGCTATTTTTTACATCACCATCTCCACTGTGTCTTTTCCTAGCACCCAGACTTTAGGAAGATGCTAGCACACAAGATTTAATTCACCTAAGATCAGGCATCTCTGTATTTACGACTATTTGGATCTACATGTGACTTGCTCTTACAGCACAGCCCCAAGGGAAGGAAGAAGGGGACTGAAATCATCTTTTCCAGGGATCAGCAGGTTTCTATTAATTGCCTACATATTGCTTCTTCCAGACAGGCTAAAAAAAAATCCCAACAAAGTTAAGTAAAGACTGTGTGTAGCTCAGAAGGTGACATGTAAAAAAAAGATACTTTTGAGTTACCTGTTTTATGGATACTGGGTGAAGATGCAGAGGTAGGAAAATAAGGAACCTGCCCAGCTGTGCCATGCAGGGTGGACAACACTGGAGCCTGGGCTGGAGGGAGAGGTTGGAGCACAGCCTTTTCTGAAAGCAGCTGCCCAGCCTCAGTGGCAGGATGGAAAGGCTGGAAAGGCTGACAGGTGGGTTGAGGCACCAGTTTGGGGATTTCAACGGGCCCTTGTATAAAGTCACTAAATTCTTCATCATCGGGAAAAGCAGAATGGGAAACAGATACAGCGGGATGGGATGGTGTGGGATGATCTGTAAATGGAATGAACACACAATGCAAAGTGATGAGGAGAAAGCTCTGTGGGTGGGAAGGTGGTAAAAGTGGCAAAGCCTGGGAAGACACAGGGAATGGGGCGAGGGGAAACAGCGCTGGATGAGTTTCGTGGCAGATGGGAAGGTTGTTATTGCCTGCGCAACAAACACAAGGTAAAGCTGAGCAGCCACTTCCAACCACGCAGCTTCTCTCCCAGGCTTTTAGGACATGAACATTTTGAAACTTGGCTCTTAACACTGGCTGTGAAAGTATTCTTTGTTTTAAACAGAGAGGGTTAAAACAAATCCAGAGGTAATATTTCAAACTGGACATAATGGGGTCTGCACAGGGGGACATTCTCCCTCAGAGGAATGTTTTATCCACAGAAACTCAGTAATATATCATAAGATACAAAAGAAATGTCTGCTCATGTAGACAATTTTCTGCTTGATCCCTTCCACTGTTACCCATTTTAACAAAACTGGTGTAGGACAGGCAAATCTACAGAGAAGGGGAAGTTGTCAGAAACCACCTGTAACTTCCAAATTATCAAAGAGTGAATCCACAGCAGAGATAAAGGTTTTATAGAGGAAAAAGCTTGTCTAGATAAGCTTTGTTTCAGCCTAGGCACTGAAAAATATATACCACAGCTCATAAGAAATCTTTGGTAGCAACTGTTCCAAGTGTAATTACTGAGAACAGAGGCTTGGGCTGAGCATGCCCAACGACCCCCCCAGTCAGCTGTGACACCCCACTCAAGTCTTTACAGAGTGTTTTGATCATTCTTAGCACTTAAAACAGCACTTCCCATCTTCAAAAGCTCTCTGCAAAACATTAATTAATGCTCTGACTAGAAAAGAATGCATTATCAGTTTCCTTGACGCTTCACACTAAGCAAAGCACATTAAGTTTTCTTTTCAAGATTTCAAGCCTTTTAATAAAGGCTGATATCTAATATTTCCCCCTCATACCCTGAACAAGCCAACAGTTACTAGACTGGCACTCGATTTTACAAAACAGTTAATCCATTTGTACCACTTTGTACCACTTTGTACTACTTTGTACCACTAAATAAAAATACTTTTTGGAATTAGTTGCCCCCTGCTGAGGATTTCAAACGTTGGAGTTTTATTTTTCAGTTGGAAGATGAGGAAAATTACAAACCTGGCTTTTTTGGATGCGATGCCGGTGTTGGGTGCATTTTAGCATCTCTAGAGAAACCATCTAAATTTCCTTTAATGGCTTCCAAGGCATCATCTCTGCTTTTTTCACCTGTCTGAAAAGCCGCAGAAAACATTTTGAAAAATTCACAGATCTTCTCAGTTTTAGTTCAAAACCCCATTTCTTCAGTGCTGGAATTAGCAATACTCGCTGTTAGATTATGCCCTTCTTTTCCAGCACTGACCTCCTGAAGCATAATAACACTAACTCCCAGATTTAGAAAGCATTTATTTTACAGACTACACCACCACAGTGCTCCTCAGTCTCCAGGCAGAGCTTTAGGCACAAGAACAATATAAACCTCACTCAGCTATCTGGTTTTCTTCAGGTAAGATCCTTCAAGCTCATTGCAAGAGTCCAAAACTTTGGACAAAGTTAACCAACACATAACCAAACATCCTCTTTCCTAGAAACTCAATCTGTTCCCAAATGCTACACACCAGGTTGGTTTAATTTTCCGAAAGTTGAATTATTCATTTCCAACACCAGACTTTGCTTCCATTACACCAAGAGTGTGTAAAGGAGCGACTGCTCCAGACACTTTCCAAAATGTAATCTGGTGTCTCATCTGAGTTCCCCACTGATGGGCTTGTTGAGAGAGAGCATCCCATTAAAAGCCATTAAAACACCAATCCTGTGGAGGGTAACGTTCCAGTTACTGTCAGGACACACCTTGGGTTTCACACTGCTCAGGAGTCTCAGCTTCTGTTTCTGCTCTTCAAACTGCCGCCGTTTCCTTTCTTCTTCCAAGAACTTCTGCTGGTGCTCAAACCTCTTCCTGAGGGAGAACGACTTTTTAAAAAAATCTAAAAATAATCTCTGTGACGATTTTCATGGCAAGTTTCTGCTTCCAAAGGCTGTGGAATATTCAACAATATTCCACAGCCCTAAACGGACACTGCTCCAGGGAAACCACATCTTCCCCTCAAACAAGAGTCAGTGAAGCGCCACTTACTGCTGCTCCTCTGCAAACTGCTTCTGCATGTCGGGGTTGTACTGGGGCGTGGCTGGGCGCATTCCCAGGAAAGACGCCTGTCCCATGTAGGGCATCCCGGCCGCTGGCATCGGCCCCAGGGGCATCCCACCCTGCAACAACAGAAGCAATACAACCTCAACGGATTCTATTTCAAATCCAGGATTTTTTGGTGTTTTTTTTCCACAGAAAAAGCCAAACCCCTGGCAATGCCACCCTGGGGAACTGCCGACCAGGTGAAATTCAGAGCGCGGAGAAGAGCTGGCTGAGCAGAGTGCTGAGGCTCAGGAGCAGCTGCCCTGAAGCAGGCACTGGTCCCTCAGTAGATGGCACTCTTCCTCTCCACAAGGACTCACAGCCCGTAAAGCATTTGGGAACACAGGATGGTCGAAAATCAGGACTTCAAATAGCCTACCCCAAGAGCAGGCCATCCTACATCGTTCAGTCCCACACTTTGGGGTTTTCTTGGGACTTTTGTTTCCTGTTCTAAGTGATTTCACAATACTTTGAAATTGCCTGCTGGGGGAAACACTCCTACCAACCACAGATGCTGGAAGACATGGGCTAGTCATGTCCCAAACACAGCTTATCCAGGGAACCAAGGGAGGGAGTCAATATATGGCAAGAGCTGAGAGGAACCTTGTCTCAGTAAACTCTATCAGAAACATTCACTGGGAAATTTATTCTGGGACATTTAGAGCACAGAACAGCAAAGCTGTCTAAGACAGAAGAAGGCCAGAAAATAATTTACCTTTCTTACCATTCATTTTGTATTTGGTTTCAGAACACGTTAAGGAGAAAACAAAGGTTGTTTATTATTTTTAGACCAGCTCTCATAAAAACATCTTCCTACTATAAATTTCACAAAAATAAGGTAATAAATTTCAGGTGGGGGTGGAAAGGGAGTGCAAGGAGATGGCAAAACACCATAAATTCAGTTTGTGACATAGCAATTTGGCTACAAAGACACACCAAAACACTGAATTTCAGCAAAGTGAAAATTTGTACACAAGCACATATGGTTCTAAACAGAAAACAAAGGATTACAAGAGAGAAAACACAGTATTAGCTGCTCATATTTCATTCTTATTCCTCAATTAGCAACAGCAGCACCTAAAGACAAAGTTACTTCAAGGAAAAAGAAGAACGAGACTGAAACAGGAAGTTGGATAAATGGGAAAACCGGTCACGTGAGCACATTGAAGAGATTCCTTCTCCCTAGAACAAGGTACTTAAAAATAAAGTTTATGATTTGTCCCCTACACTCAGGAGATTTAATTCTATTAATTCCAGCACTTGAGTTACAGAGGGATGAAATGATTCCGTGAAGTGGTCATGACCCATCAGACTGTGCAAACAGTCACTCCTCATCAGCTTACAAAGATCTCATGGAAAACACTCCATGACACAGCACCACCAAACCGAAGGAGAGAGAGAGGGAAAAGCACGAAGGAAAACTAAAAAGACAGGAGAGCTCCACTGTGGGAGGTTTGAATACTGGTTACTGAACAATTCCCTACCATTACTAACCCCACCTGGGCGTAGGTGGCAACTGGGAGATTTTCAACACATTGCTGATGCTTTTGTTTCCTTCTCTGCTCAGACCAGGCTTCTCTGATCACACCTGGGTGTCACAACACATACAGTGACATCAAAGTTCAGATTCTGACATCTTTGAGTGGGCTAAAGCCTCACATTTACCTTACATACCACTGATGCTGTCCTTGCACTACACCCTCATCTCTCTCGACTCTACAACAGTGAGTAATGTGTGCTGAACTCCCCCACTCTCCGTGCAGATCCCGAGGAAACCGGGAGGAATCTCTAACTTATCAGGAATACGCTCAAAGGGAATACTACAGAGTAGGATGGCCCATGACACATCAACACCCAGGCTTCAGTTTCCAGCCAAGTTCCAACCCTCACCCCCCCTGCAGCTGTGAGAGGACCAGGGCAGCAGCTGTCACCCCTCAGCCAAGCACCAGGACATCCCACTTTTTTTTGGAGAGGGACTTTTCACAAGGGCACGTGGTGACAGGACGAGGGGGAATGGCCTTAAAGTGACAGAGAGTAGGTTTAGATGGGATATTGGGAATAAAGTCCTCGCTGTGAGGGTGGGCAGGCCCTGGCACAGGTTGCCCAGAGAAGTTGTGGCTGCCCCATCCCTGGAAGTGTCCAAGGCCAGCTTGGACGGGGCTTGGAGCAACCAGGGCTAGTGGGAGGTGTCCCTGCCCATGGCAGGGGGGATAACAGGATGATCTTCAAGGTCCCTTTCAGCTCAAACCAGTCTGTGACTGATTTCAGTTCACATTTCATTGCCAGGCACCTGCATGGTCATGGGTCCAGGAGGCATCTGAGAACCATAATTCATTCCCATCATCCCTGGCATATTGGTCTGCATGACAGGAACCATTGGAAATCCTTGCTGTTGCATAGGAATCATCCCTGTAATGAAACATGAAACAAGGTGAGAGTCCAGTGAGTGTTAAAGCTTTCCCCCCACCCCTTCCCTGCCTCCCTAATATGCTTTGGGGTTTTTTTGTTTACTAGACCAGCAAAGGAAAAGAAAAAACTCTGAGTCTTGCTGGACTGCTTAAAAATAAAAAGAATAAAATTTACTCCACTGCAGGCAGCCAGAGAATTTCCTTAGTTTAGACACTGGTCAGTCTGCAGAGAAAAATATTACAGGGCTTTCACAGTAACTAAGCTGATGAATTCTCCCACCATCCCAAGGATTCTCTGTGGGCTTCTTCCCATGTGATTTTTGGAAGGGTCATTTCCAATTAACAAGATTTAATTAACCAGGTTGACTAATGCTGATAATTCCCATCTCTCTTGAAAGGGAAAATTTACAAACCGGCAGCTTTCGAAGACAAATCTTGGGAAATAAAGTCACCCTTGCACAAGGCAACTTCCCACTCTGACCTGGCTGGATAACGTGTCTGCAGGTTAATTAGTCCACTGTAGGTTAATTAGCCCACCATGTATATTAGAATGGTAAGAGTAAAAAACTAAACTTCTGCAAAATTGAACAAATCAAGCTGGAATGCATTAATTCACTGAATAAAGCCTAGTGGATTATGGTTCAGTATTTTCCTGTCTTGGGAGACAAACACACGTTTGTTACCAGCACACCATGAGATAATTAAAACTGTGCACAACTGAACATCACGTGCTAAAACACTCCAGGAGGGAGTGACACAGGCAGGAAGAATCCAAAAATCAGTCCCTGGCATTTTTACACGAAAACTCTCCACTTTCCCCAGAAGTTCTCTCTGAATTTTCCACTAATTAAACAGCCTGCATCAGGAATGAGAACAAAGGTAATTTAAGGCTGAGGCTCTCCTATTGTATTAATACTTTCCACACAGGTTGTGACTCTTGTCCCAGGGTCTTGCTGTGCTTTGTAAATATTTACCAGGTCTTGCAACACCCACACAATATGGGTATACACAGCTGGGAGATGAAGCAGAAAGAGGTGAAATACCACGCTCAAAATAACATAAAAAAATCTTAAAGGCAAATTCAGGTTAAAAAGGGAGGTGTAGTTTTCCTAGACCTTTAATCTAGATTCTGATGACACACGGGAAGTTTTATCAACAGCTTACCAGAGCTGAATTCAAGGGGAAAACCAGCTTGGATTGAACAGGAGTTCAATTAATAATCACAGTTCTGAGCATCCCTGCAGAAGTGGTTTAAGCTGTTAGATGTACCTGAACAAAGTGAAGAACTCTGTGCTCAAAATGTGAATTGGTACGTACCTTGAGGGGGGCCCAAACCACCTGCGACAGGAAACATGAAGCTGGGGGAGGAAAACAAGAGCACGTTAAAGTGTCATTTTAGTGCAAATGTAAATGGTTGAAAACCCACCTCGATTTGCACGTCAGCACCACCACCAGGAGCCTCCCAACCTCTGGCCAGGCCAGCTCTTTCCCCTGCTCCTGCAGATCTCACAGAATCCAACCCCTCCTCAGGGAAGAACTCCTCCCTGCTGGGATCCCCCAAAGCACTGGAGGGTCCCACCAGCACCGTCAGCGCTGCCACGGGCTGGGGAGCCAGGAAAAATAGATCTTATCCACCCAGCAGCACTGAAAGGGCTTTGACTCATCAGCATCACCCCCGGGAGTTTGGGCGCCCACGCAGGTTGGGAACAGGGCAGTGTGCTGGTGTGGGCTAAGACAGGATGAATAAGCATCTCCTTGCAAGAGTCTGACTCAGCAGGACCACTGACTGCACCAGACAACAGTTCTCAGCTGCCTGGGAGGAGTTTTCAGGGGAGAAACCACCCATGGAACCCACCCCCTCTACCTTTACACTGAGTATCACAACATTCTGGGGTTTCTGTTTTCTCAGCTATCTAATTACAACAAAAATAGCAGGTCAGAGAAAATCCTCATTCACCTATCAAGGGTCGAGTGCACCTGGAGGGAGAGCCATTAAGATTTCAACAGAAATCCTAATGGAAAATGCTGTCCCTCGCTTTCAAAACAGCTGCCAAACAGCAAAAACATCTAGTTTAAAATTCTCAGTTGCAAGCAACTCAGAGAAACCCACGTCAGCAGCAATTTCCCAAACAAGAACCTCACTCAGTGTCCCAGGCAGTTATTACTTCAAAGTACCACGGAAAAGAAACACACTTATAGATATTCAATGCTCAGTTCCGAGGGTGGATGTGAAAGGAACTGCCTAAGAGTACAGGAGAAAATGCCATCAGAAATGGCTGCAGAAGTTCTGAAAGCCAACCTGGTTTATAAATATAAAAGAGCTGTGTAATATGAGCACTAAGGTAAAATAAGGAATTTTAATTATGCATTTCTCCAGGAGCAAATTGCACCTACCCACTGTACAGACAGCAGGTCACACGGTCACCAAGGCAACCCATTCACTCTTCACTTCATCCTCTTACCAGGATCTTCTTCATCCTGAAGCTTCTTCTTCAGCCCTGACCACCATGTGCTGATTTCTCCTTCCACAACTAACACAAAGCTGTGCTTTCCAACAGGTCCCATCCTGCCATCTGCAATCCCCCCCACTCTGGGGTTCCCCTCTGAAGCACAGCGTGGACTCACGTTACCTCAGCCCCAGACACGAGCAGGGCTCAGCTCACACCACGGCCAAGGTCTGTTCCACTGGGCAGTGCTCACTGGAATCCACTCCTCCACACACAATATCTACAGCTGAAAACCACAGAGGGGCCCATGACTGAACCTGGGCTCTTTTCTCCACTCAGAGGCTGGAGTTAGTGAAGGAGTTGGATTTTGCCCGTGTTCAGTGTCAGTACAAAGTGCCTCCTCGGCGATACACCCCCATAAACAAGCTGAGATGTGTAGAGCTTCTGTCATAACACAGATCTGCAATTTTAGGCACCTTAAACTACACCATTCTTAGTTTAGTCAGAATGATGAAATATTACAAGTCATTTTTGAAAAGCTCACAAGTATGAAGAAGTGTTCTAAGCTTCATCTTTTCCCTTCCTATTGGGGAATTCAGGTTCTCCCTTCTTACTGGAGAACCTGGTCAACAAGAATTCTTCCAAATCAGCAAACCTAGCAAGGTACCACTGCTTGCTGGAGCAAATAAAGGCCAAGCTATTAAATATTTATCCCTTTCCACAGAGCTCCTGGTTTATTTATAAGTCTCTGTTGAGAAAAAGAAACAATCAACAAAAAAGCCCTCAGCTAATTAGAGGGCAGTGGCAGAGGAGCTAGTTCAGAGCGGCAAAGCCAGCTCTGTATGTGCCGCTGGGATCCAGCACGGATCTCACTCCAGGACTCAGCTGAGCAACTGCCAACACCAGCCACACCTGCAGGGCCATAAACCCCATCCAAGCAACAGGAGTGTATTAATGAACTCCTCCTTGGAGATGCAGAAGTGCCCAGAGCCAGCAGGCAAAGCAGCTGGTTCTCACCGCTCAGGGAGCCAGCGAAGGCACCGTCCTGAGCGAGGAGGGTGAGGAATGGATGTGATTCCCTGCACAGACGGAATAAACAGAAGGAAAACACAGCCCTCACCCTACAACAGACCTCTTAAGGCAGTAACATCAACCTGTAAACTCCTATTAGATGAATATTTTAATATGGAGCTTAAACCCCACAAAAAAATCCCAGACCAGCCAAACAACAGCTTCAGACAAAACGCAGGAGCATGAGGAGAAGCAACTCCCTTTCCATACTCAAACTTCACTATAACAGCTCCAAACCACACAGAACATTTTCCCATCTACAAGCGGATTTTTAAACCCCTTCATTCCCAAGCAGTACAACTCCATCAACACAACACAGACTGTCAGAGTATTTTGGAGTGGCAGAAATGCACAAAAATTGAAGGAACCCACACAGACAGAGAACAGAACTTTTTCCTCTATCTCCAGACTTCATCCTCAAATAAACCAAAATACCGACACTGGGAAACGATGATTTTTAGAATCCTTTTATTTTTCAGAGCCTATATTCCACTGAGAACACTTCTGTTATTTTACTACAAGAATACTGAGCAGGCAACGTTGCTGTAAGAGGTTCATCTCCTTGCAAGAATTATTTCAGATGTATTCGTGGGGAAACAAGCCCCATGAGACAGCCTCCCATCCTTCCCACAGCACGCACAGGCAGGTGCACACACACACACACACACCCCCCTCAGCTTTTCCCTTCCCAAGTATTCCAGACCCTTGGATGGTTCTTCCTGAAGCAGAGCATCAGCCTGGCTCAGACAGCTGATGGGGACACTCCAAACCTGTGCCTGCAGACGAAGGTCACCCCAGAGCAGACCTCCCCTCCTCACATTCCCAAAAACACAGACAAAACCATGGCCTTCAATATATTCACGACAACTAAGTGAACTTGACTGTCAAATGCAGAATTTCCTCAGCCTCCCTAGAAGTAGGACAAGAGATAAATAGCATGCAAGAACCGACATTAAAAAAAAATTACTAAGTCTGCAAAGGTGGTGAAATCCAGCTTCCCAACCTTTCCAGAGACACAACGACATCTCTTTTGACGCTGGTTCTTTCTCCTCATTCCTTCCTCCTGCCGAGGTGCCCTTTGTGGGATGGAGGGGACAAGGGAGCTCCCCACTGAGGCTCCATCCCACAGGCCTTCCCAATGACAGCAAGAACGTCTGTGGCTGCTAACACCCACTCACTCACCACTGGGGAACCCCCAAATCCCTTCCTGCCCCAATACCTGAGATTGTGGCTGCGAAGCCTGATGGCAATTAGGGTGCACCTGCCCCAGCCTGGACATGCCGAGGGATCAGGTGGGTCCCCAAAATATCAATGAATTCCAGCAAAACGTAGAGCCAACGTGGCTGCACTCCTCACACCTGGGACCCCTACATCCCATCCAGGACCCCACGCACCCCTCCTGGGACCTGCACACTCCACGTACCGCACCTGAGACCCCACATAGCCCACCCAGGACTCCGCGTACTCCACCTGAGACCCCACATAGCCCACCCAGGACTCCGTGTACTCCACCTGAGATCCCACACAGTCCACTCAGGATCCCGTGCACTCCACCTGGGACCCCACACAGTCCACTCAGGATCCCGTGCACTCCACCTGGGACCCCACGCAGTCCACTCAGGATCCCGTGCACTCCACCTGGGACCCCTCCCTGCCCCATTCTATGACCCCCGAGGCCCCACCCCGGAGCCCACGTACTCCACCTGGGACCACCACTCTCCACCCAGGACCCCACATACCCCCAACCGGGACCTCCCCCCGCACACCCCTGGGCCGTGAGCCTCCTGCCCCTACAACCCCCC